CATAAAATGTGCTGGACACATCTTAATATTTTGTTTAAACTGTTCTGGAACAGTGTTGTAAATACAACTTAACCACTGATTTCGTGTCCACTTTTGGAAGGCCAAACAAAGTATTTTTGCTTTCACAATGAAACAGCATCACACACCGCGGCCTTGAGTGAGCGGCGGCCAGCTTGAGTGAGCAGAGGCAGAATGTTGCGCGAGATTTCTCAAAAATCACCAGGGTATTTATTTATATGTTTGTATATTTATTTACTGAACCTAAAGTGATTTGTTAAAAGGACGCTTGTGAAAATGGCCTGTAGAGAGTCAGTAATCAGTTCACGGATCTATACAACACCTCTATACACCTTCATTTTTCACAGTTATTTTTGCCATGTAATTAATTCGTATTTCATAAAGTTCTAACCTGTCATAGTCAGAAATTGGATTAGGTAACACAAATGAAATGACACATGTCCAAGTGAGTCTGCGCTTCAGTACATCTGATTTACTCACTTGTTGAACAGTACAGTTAGAGATCAAGTGTTAATGTGTTTCCACCATTGTAGATCCAGCAAGGCCCTTGTTTGCTTCACTTAGGAACTGGTTTTCTTTGGGAAATAAAATGACAGAATGGTGTATCAATTGACTAAATGAAAAAGTAGATGTGGCACAGTGGGGGCAGCTACCTGTGACAAGTTTGTGACTCATCCATCACTCAGCCTGAAGCAAACAACAAAGTCAATTACACACCTTAAGACAATGCATGAAATCAAACCTAACTGAAAACTGCAAGGTTTTCCTTCTCCTTTTTGGTAGAATGGGGAATATTCAGATGGCTGAAAAACTCTATATGCTCTTATACTCTATATGACAAAAACATAACGTGAATATTTAAACATGTGCATGTACAGAGAAAGTGCCATGTCACTTCAAACTTGTATGACTTTTGCTTTCCTTTTTAATTTTTTTTTGGTTTGCTCATGTCTTATCTTGCCAAGGGCACCAAGAGGACTGTGACTGGTGCCCCCAGAAAAACAATAGGTGCATGACACCCTGGGAAAGACCTACTTTTTGAGTTCCAAAACTTCCCTGGAACCAGCTCATTTCACATATGGTTTGAAATCCTATGCATCAATTGATATAATTTATGCATTAAAATGCTTGGTTGGTTATTTATGATTACCTCAGCTTTCCCTGCAAATAAAGTCTGCTCAATAAAAAAACAAAAACAAGTGAACATATTGCATTTGAATGTTGAGCATAACAACAGGTCATAATGCACAACATACTTTTCCATTTAGTTTCCTTCTCACTCCATTTGAGCTTGTCATGTTTAATGAAACGTTCAGCAATAGATGTTTGTTTTGGTCTTTCTTGTATAGAGCGACATTGGGAAATTTTCCCAGTCACACCTGAACTGTCTGACCTAGGTTTGAACTCACAACGTAACACACAGACTTGTGTTCAGCTTTGAAAACATGAGT